CACATCCTAATTAAATATTACAATTAGGATGTGATGATTTAGTAGCAGCAAAAAATGATGGAACTCTTGAAACATTGTTACTAGCAGCTCCTTCATAATAAATTATTATTTAAAGTGGAAAGAATAAAAAATTAAACTCATCGCTTTATAATAAATATATGATTTATTGATCTCTCAATTTATTTGTTTTTTAAGAAAAAAAAATAAACGATCGAAAAAGGATAAATAAATCAATAAAAAGATTTTTTTCACGCGCGCAAACATACACAATGTGAAATAACTATTACTATTATTATTATTATTATTATTATTTAATATTAATTAAAAAAATAAATTAAGAATGAGAACATATTAACTAATTTGATACAAAAATTTTTTTGTTATTATTTTACAATTTTTTTTTTCTATCAATTAATAAATGAATTTGCAAGGAAAAGAAAAAATCGTTATTATTAAATAATTAAATCTATTGTTTTCATATGTCCTGTATGCCTTTACATCCAAAATTAAATTATAGTCGCATATCTTATTTTTGTTTTTTGTTGTCCAACATTGGTTTAATAACAAATAAGTATATGACTATTGCTAAAACAATCAAAAGTATTATGCCAATGCCAAGGCAATACCATTTTTTCTATTTTAAATGTCAGAGAAAAGAGAGAAGAAAAAATAAATATATTATTAAGAATTATTATTATAATTACTACAAAAGTCGAATTAATTTATTACCTTTCTTGCAGCTCTTGCACTAGTTAGTGCTTTATCTACGTGTTGAGCGCCTTGTTCCATATTAGTACTGACTTGTGTAGCTTCTTGTTCAATAGCCACAATTGTTTGGTCTTGTGCTTCAACAATAATTGACATTTCATGGAAAAGATTAGCAAGTTCCTAGATAACCCAAAATGATTGATGGAACAATTATTTAATAAGTGTATATATATAATATATAAAAAAGAATACAATTAATCTATTACATACTTCAATTGTTTTTTCAATCTTTTTAATATAATCATGACGTTCTTGTACTTCTTTAAGAGCTTTTTTAGCTGCTCCAAATCTTCTTTGATTCATAAACTACAAATAT